ACTCGCAGGGTGCCATAGATCTTACTTTAGTGTGTGAGTAACCCCACATCTGGGAATATCAATTTTTTATTCCCTTTAGAAGATTTTCTTTCATTTTGTAACCTTTCACTTCATAGGTCACTGGCCTAAACTGTGATAGATCAAGCTGTCTGGAGAGATTTCAGGTCTCTGGTGTTGCCACCTGGATTGGAATTTTTCTTACAGCAGAAATGCATGTAGAGTTGTACTTAGAATCAAATAGTTCAGGGGAAGGGGTTTGAGAATAGGAGAATTCACCATGTATTTGTTCAGGTTCTTAGGTTCCAGGGAGGTGATTAGGGAATCACGCAGAAGTTTCATTTATGATTCTTCTTTTAGGAGATTTCAAAAATGTTGAAAATTGTGATAAAGTTAGTATTAAAATGCGTAACACTGCACATTCCTAACATGGAAAGTTCCAGCAAGTCATTTAAACTGATGGCTGGGGTTTTGCATTGACCATACTCATTTATTAAACACACAGAGGGTGTCCCTGAAGTCACCATGCATATGGGAAGTGGGAAATTGTATCTAAATGTACCTTCATTTACAAAATATTCATTACGAAATTTTACAAAAATCTGGCCAACACATACAGAATATTTTGTAAATACTTTATACAATTTTATAATGAATATTGGGTAAATAAAGGTACATTTAGCTGCAATTTCCCATTTTACCTGTGGATGGCAACTTTAGGGGCGACTTTGGGACACCCAGTACTTAAAAGCACCAACCAACTCTCTGCCATAAAAAATCAAACTAATAAAATCAGCAGCAAAACTAAAACCAATCAACTGGCATGCATATAAACATTAAATGCAAGACTATAGCTAGTTCTGATAACCCTAGTTTTACATTTTTTCAGAGAGCTTCATGAACTGACTTTATGATTAGCAAATATATATTCTTTGTAAGTACTTATAAATAAATTTATGCTACCAAAGAACTATTTTAATTATTTTACATGTTGAGGTCTCCTTTAATATTATGTTGTAATAATTAACTCAGCTACCAAAAGTAAAAGTGCATGAAAAAGCACTGCCAGGAATTCACTGAAATTGTTCATGATAAAAAGATTTTTGTTAGATGACCACTTACTCATCCAGCTGCATTGGGCATTCTACATATTTAAACTTGGCCACAGCCTGTTAGGAATTTGTGCTATTTAAACACATTGACATATTTTATAGTCTAGATTTCTTATTTTATAAATGAAGAAATAGGGCCATTCTTAAATTAAGTGCAGGCAGGCAAATAACAAGTAAGAAAAGGGATACCATTTAGTTAGCTAGACCCGTAGACTCAAACTGTTCTCATCCTCATGTCCTGAAGACACAAGTCCCAGCCAGATCACAGTTACAGTAGTGAGAATTGATTGCCTGAATTCAAAAGTTGGTTGTTAGCAGTACTATGGCTTACATTGCCAAGTTATAAATGGACAGTGAAGAAATGAAATCATTTGTGTGTGCCCATGTGCATGTTCAGTGCAGGTGAAATCGGGAAGGGGACATTGAATGACAAATTGGTGAGGCCAATGAGACAGGGGCCACCAGTATTTGGAAGGCTTGTTTTTAATCTTGGGACTTCCTTTGAAACCTCAGAGCCTTGATTAGTCCCACTGTACCTCTTAATCCATAGAGTTTTCCTCATCTACAAATTGAGAAGTATATATACTCTTGACTGACAACTTAACTTTAGAATTCTTGATTGTATGTGTTTTTCTTTTTAGGCTGAAAAAAAATTAAGAAGAGCTTAAAAAGTTCACCAACAGGTATCTTGTGACTCCAAAAATACAAACCAAAGGGGGAGTTTAAATCTTCCATGGTGTTCCTTCCTTGTTGGGGTGTTGGGCATATGGTAGGGGTGGTGGTGATGGGGTCTTATAGTAACTGCAGTCTCCTTGCTGGGGAGCTTGGCCCTGCTCTCTGCTGCTCTGTTTCTCCTATTGAATGTTTCTGCCATATTCATTTGTTGTTACTGATGCGATCACTGGGAGGCTCCTATTAGTTCTCAGGTTTTTGGTGAAGGGAGAGCTGAATCCTACTGGGATTGTTCACAGAGATGAGGGCCACCTTGACAGACTCTGGGGACTTGAGAATTGATCTGACCATTGCTAATGGTCAGAAGGTTTAGGTTAACTTGGAAATGTGGACTGAGAGTGGCAGATTGGTCATCAGAAGCCAGTGACTTCTTCTGGGGAAAATACCTGGAAGCTGGAACCAGGAGTTGCAGAAGAGATCTCTATACCTCCTTTCATCTCTATACCTCCCTCTACCTGGGAAGGTTTTGGACTTTTCTTCCCAATTGTCTTGTGTACTTCCATCTTTTTTCCTCAGTAGCCTGTGGGCACTTCCAGTTCCTCCTTTGTGTATGAGAGCTTCTTTTCACAAAAGTTCCCAGAGGTAAATACTGTAGTGTGAACACACATGGACACAAGTATACACGTAAGTATGAGAGAGAGAGAGTGAAGGAGAGAGAGAGAAAGACAGATGGCCTTGGGAAATCATGAAAACTCTTAGGTTTCATGAACAAATATATTAATAGTTAACTTTTATTGGAAAATTTACACAAAAACTCTTTCTTAACATCACCAGTGGATTGGAAAAGAGTTAGATGATTGGGTTCAGGATCAATGACAGATAACAAGGTTGTCTACTTTTCTACAACCCCAGTAGCACCGCTGCCATCCCTACCAACAGCAATCTTAATAGTTGAACAAGCAGGGTGATTATGCTCTAACCAACAATTCCTGAGGGGCAGATCCACTCTTTTTTTCCCTGTACAATGGAGAATATGGTTAGAATTTCAGTGTGCCTTGATGACATTTTAATATTTTTTATAACTAACTGGAAGTTGCCACCAATTATTGAGCACTTACAATGGGTCAGACACCATTCTAGTATTTTCCTTAGACTTAAACCTCACCACAACCCTAGGGGGTAGTCTCATTATTAGCTCCATTTTGCAGATGAGAAAAAGGGAAGCAGAGGGTGGTTCAGCCTCCTTTTTAAGGTCGGATGGTGGGACAGCTGCAGCTTTTGCTCAGAGGTCCCTAACCACCAGTTAATACTCTGTCCCATAGTGGGAGGGGCACATCCTGAAGCCAGGAAGCCAAGAAGAAAGTGCTGTGAAGACAGGGAGCTGAGGTGCTCACAGAGGCAGTGGGTGCACGATGGCCAGTGGTTGCTGCTGGTGCCTCTCGTAGGCTCCTCTGCTGAAAGACCTCCCTACCTGTGTGTATGTTTCTGACTTCCACAGGGGAGGGTGCTGTTTTGTGTCTCAGGTGAGAGCTTGGCAAATCGTTAAATGCTAGCCAGCTTCCAGGGGTGCTGGCCTCATCAGCTTGACCGCACTCTTTCACACATGCACTGAGTTCGAGTTCCTTCCCCTTGAGGTTACATTTCTGTTGGGAAACCTTGCCTTGTCACAATGCTATTTTCGTAAACACAGACCCATATGCGATATTCCATCCCCTCAAAGCCATGCTTAATCTGGTTCTGCACAGAGGCTGATGGGTCAAGTGTAGCAAAAGACGGAGGACGTTGTCCTGAAATGACTTTGTCGGGAAAGTGGCCTGTGCCAAGCAGTGCTTCTGGAAGCTTCTCTGCTGTATATCAGAGGTTGAACTGGACAGGCTGAGGGAGTGTGGTGAAGAGGCTGTTGTAGTTTGGCGGAAACCATTTTGGCTTAGTGCAAGGTGGAGGTGCACCCACAGTTGGGGGGGGCTTGTTAGAAATCCCAGTGCTGGGGGGATCAATGGCTTTACGTGAGGTTACCCAAAGTGTGGACCTGGTCCCTACTCCTGGTCAGCTGTGTGTGCCCACGTGCTACTGAACATCAGCCTCCAGGATGCTGTACTCTCCCTAACTCTGTACACAGCCAGAGTTATTTCTTGGTCTTCTTAGGACAATCCCCCTGGGCTGGCTGTGCTGCCATCTGTCACTTCTACTGGGATATCATGTTTAGTGGCTATATCTGTCCCTACCACAATTGTGAAAATAATCTGTTTGTTTCTTACTGATGCTGGAACATTTGTCTTAGTGCTGTAGTAGTAACCTTGGCTAACCCATTATAATAATACCTTTGGCTTCTTGGAGATCCCTCCCTATGCCCATTTGTGTCTTGGGGCCCTTTTCATCCTGTGCCAGTTTCTTCCTGCCAACACTGTTTCCATTTGGGCTGACTTTTTTCTGCCCTCCTCTCTGGGTCACTGCTGCTCCAGATTCCTATCCACACAATGGTAAGGGGTCACTTGCAAATTCAGCTACAGGCTACCTTGCTGTTTCTAAAGCTACCGCAATGTAGTTCAAAGTCTAATGTAACCAATATTAGTGTTTATTTTCCCCTATGCTCTGCATATTTCACTGTTCTTCCCCTTCCTTTTTGAAAAATTGATAGTTTTCTCTTCTCGAATTTCCTGTTTTACACTTGGGCACAGAGCTCACTCTTTCAAACTCTTGATGTTAGCTGTTTGTTAGAGAGTAGACTGACAAGGTCATGTTTCTAACTTACTATCCTCTGAATTCATCCCAAAAGATAAAGCACTCTAATGGTCAGACCGCTGGTTGAATTTAAAATGTTTGATTATGAAACATGGTGGATGTGAGTGATGAGTAAGAATAAAGTCTCATGAAGAACAGTTTTACGTTATCCTCAGTTTAACTCAGTTTCAGAATGGAATGCCTTGTGTTTCTTCCATAAAGCTCAAAAGAGCCAACTAATAGCCTTCTCTTACCTTAGTCACACACACACGCTCACACACCATTGGTGGTTCTTACCAATGTCAGATCCACAGTTATTGATGTACTGAATGCCTCTTTGTTCTCTGAAGTCCAAGAAAAACTGTGTTAAATATATTCTTTGCAGGAGGATGCTTTTGAAGCCAACATTACTAATTTTTTTTCCTTTTTTCTTGAATTCTTTATACACATAACATTTTTGGATCTATTGAAAATAATTTTCTCTTTTGTATTTTGTAGAAACTACCTCTTCAGATTACAGCTGGAGGATCTGTCTCTTATCCAGGTAGGTGCAATTTCTTTTTTCTCAAGCTTTCATTTTCCATCCCAATTAACTCACTGTCTGAGGGGATGAAGACAGACGTACGGAGAGACATTAATCAAGAGCAATTGGGCTTTCATTTGCTCAATGGGTCAGGCCGCAGGTCTATCGTCTGCCCTATTGGATATGACTCAACACCTTCTTTAATTCCCAATTAGCCTTTTCCCCCTGCCTTGTGGCTTTCTTTGTTTCACAGGTATGATCCTGATTTTCTGTTCCTTGGGTAATAGACAATTCATGAAACATTACCTCAAACACTGGTAGCATTCCTTTCTCCTGAAACCAGGATATTTAGATAGTCTCAAAGTACTAACCTATATGATATATATTAATTGTAAGAGAAAAAGAACCCTGGCAAATACCCATAACAAAGTAGCAAAAATGGTTTTGTGAGTGATGGGACAATGTCCAGTGATTTGAGGTTCTGAGAAGGATACGGCAAGATTTCCATGACACTCTAGCTAGAAATGATAAACAAAATTATAAGCAATAACCTTATCACAGGAACCACCAGATAACCTAAGGACATAATATAAAAACCTGGCCTCCTTATTAAATGTCACAAAGTCATAAAAGGCATCAGAAAGAGTGAAGAGTTAGTCTATCATAAAGGGAACAAACAGACTTGATGATCCAAGCAATACTTGATCCAAATTTAATCTTGGAACAGAAAGTTTTTTCTTGCTGTAAGGACATTATTGGAACACCTGGTAAAATTTGAATGTCTATAGAGAAGATAGTAGAATACATTAATATTAATTTATTGATTTTTTAATATGTAATATAGTTATGGAGGAGAAGATCATTCTTCTTTGCCAAAACCTACTGAAATATATAGAATTAAAAGGTATTGTTTTGGCAACTTATTCCTAAATGGTTTAAAAAATCACTATGTACGTGAATAAAGCAAATGTGTTATGGAAGGAATCCAGGTGAAAGGTTTATGAGACTCTATTCTTATGTTCTCACAAATCTTCTTGATACTACATTAAAATAAATAGATGCATAAAAATGGGTTCCGTTTCTGCCATTAGCACACATGCCTTTGATAGTGTTGTGAGAGACAAGAAACTAATTGTATTTCCTTGTCACTGCTTCCCTTTGTCATGACGCTGCTGCTGGAAGTCAGGTTTAGGTTATTGATGGAATCGAAGTGCTCCTACTGTACTATGGAAAGCAGGCCAGCATCCCCACCTGCTGAGAGCTCAGTCTGCTGACACAGGGCCAATTAAGAAGACAGCAACTTCCTCCATGGTGGCTTTGCAAGCACAGCCCTGACAACAGATGTCAAACTTTGCTGTACTGTTGGTGCAAGGCCGTAAAATGTTCCTTTTTCACATTCTGTGGTTGTGAGCACAGTTCTGTAGCCTACTGTTTACTTAGCCAGGAAAAAGATAAAGCCAGCAATTCTTCATGACATCCTTCCTACCATTACATATTGAGCTCTGGTTGATATCTATGAATATTTCATTTTAATTTAAATGGCTATTTCCAATGGTAACAGAAAGGAATAAGCTCACGGGTAAACAAAGGGCTGTCCTGGTGTTAGAAACAGTATTGTCGAATGGAAGCATGTTGTGAACCGCACAGGCAATTTAAGCTTATATGGTAGTTACCGTGAAAAAAGCAAAAAGCAGCAGAAGAAATCACTTAAAATAGTATATTTTATTTACCATTATATCGAAAATATTGTCCTTTCAACATGACATGAGTGTAAGAAATGAAGACAAGACATCTGACAATTAAGTTCGTGAACTTGCCACCATGTGCTTTTGTTGGCAGCGCTGTACATACAGCTGAGCAAGGTTTCGTAGCCTTGGTGGGTCAATGTCTCTCGGCTGTGTTCATGTCAGTGTGTGGCGGTGTCCTGCCAAGTGGTGTTCATTATTGTTGCCTGCTTTTGTGTCCTGCTTCGACAATGTCTGAGATTAAATTAAACTAGCAAACAAACTCATAAATTTCTAATTAAACGTGGCAAGAATGGAAGAAAAATCAGGGATGTGTTATTCCAAGTTCATGGGAACAATGTCATGAAGAAAGCGACAGAGTATAAACAGATTAAACCTACTCTTCAGAGGGGAGAGAAAGTGTCACTAATAAAGAGAGGTTGGAGCGGCCAGTAACGAGCAGAATCGGTGAAAACATGGCAAAAATTCTTCAAATTGTCTGTTAAAATTGTCAGCTGACTATGAGAAGCATAACAGACCAAGTAAACATTGACAGAAAAACAGGAAAATCTTAACTGAAAATCATGACTCTTGAATCATGACAGCACACCAGCTCCCATGGCATTGTCTGTGATGGAGTGTTATTTATTTATTTATTTATTTTTATTAAGTCATTTGCACATAGACCATAAGTACATTTATGCCATTATGGGATTCAATGTGTTGATTATTTGTACAAATTGGAGTGCTTACATGCTACTAATCAGCATAGCCTTCACCTCCTTTACCCAATTATAGGATTAAGACATTTATGCTCTACACCTGATAGATCCAACTTGTACTTGCCATATGCTCCATAGGTGTGGTCCCCCTACCAACCCTCCTTCTATCAACCCACCCCCTCCCTTCTCTCTCCCTTTTCCTCCTTCATTCTAGGCTATAGTTGTGTTTCATTTTTCATATGCAAGTGTGAGTGATTATAAATTGGTTTCACAGTAGTACTGAGTACATTGGATATATTTTTTTCCATTCCTGAGATACTTTACTAAGAAGAATATTTTCCAGCTCCATCCATGTAAACTTAAAAGAGGTAAAGTCTCCATTTTTTTAATGCTGCATAGTATTCCATGGTATACATATACCATAATTTATTAATCCATTCATGGGTCGATGGGCACTTGGGCTTCTTCCATGACTTGGCAATTATGAATTAAGCTGCAATGAACAATCTGGTGCAAATACCTTTATTGCCAAATGATTTTTGGTCCTTTGGATATATACCTAGAAGAGGAATTGCAGGGTCAAGGGCAGGTCTACATTTAGATCCCTGATGGAGTTTTTAACTCCAGCAAGCAGTTGTACTGGAGCACCCTCCCTACTCACCTGATCCAGCAACTTTTTTCTTTTCTCAAAGATAAAGGAAATATCGAAAGAAAGGTATTTTGATGATATTCAGGACATTGAAGATAATATAACAATAGCTCTGATGATCATTCAAGAAAAGAGTTCCAAAATTGCTTTGAGGAGTGGACTAGGCTTTGGCATCAGTGCACAGCTTCCCAAGGGGTGGAATTTGAATGTGACTGTGAGGAGACTCAGCAATGAGGTATTTAGCACTTCCTCTAGGATGAGTTCACGAACTTAATTGTCAGACTGCGGATGTTGTAGTCCATTTTTCATTTGTTTTCTTTGGTCCTAAGCCTTTAAACGTGGTATGTATTTCCTGCCTCCAGCATGTTTCAGTTTAGACTGGCCAGAAGGAATTCCAGTGTTCTGCGTGGTGGTGCTGCCCCACTGGTCAGCGCAGGTACTGGGGGACAGAGCACAGATGACTGTTTGACTTTGTTTATTTCATGGAAATGTTGTTTTCTAACAAGGATAATAGAATTAATTGATGTGTCCCAGGCTGATAAAATTCTCCCTTCCTCTCTCTCTCCAAAGATAAAACATTATTGTATAAAAACAAAAAAAAAAAACTAAGATCAAAGCGGATAACCAATTTCAGGAAAGTGTAGAGAACAAGGGTTTAGCGTGGTTCAGCAGTGGCGTCATCCAGCACGAGAGGATACTCCCTTTGATCCCGCCCTTGCAAGAAGGCACAGTGTACCTGCAGCTGGCAGCTGGTACTACCTGTCTCTCCCCCTCCCCGGGGGGGGGGGCACTTCCTACCTTGCCCAGCCATGTGGAGCTGCTCATGGTCTCCTAAACCACAGGCTACTTCCCACCTTTAAGCGCTCACTCTTTCTGTCCTCTCTTGAATACCTTCCCTCTCCTCCTGCAGACTCCTGAGTCCCATGTGGAGCGTCACCTCTTTCCAATCCATCCTGAGGCTGGATGGTTGGTGACCCTCTGAGACACCGCACAGCCTCCTGAACTTTGTTTCTGACTAGTACTTACTGCTCGTGTTGGAATTCACTTCATGTGTTGCAAGAAGTGTTTTATTTCTCTTTGTATTCTCAATATTGGAGTATTCAATTAGGTTACCTGGTGGGTGGCAGAGTCAAAACAAATGCCTGTATGAGTTTTAATCCCTTGGTACTTAATAATATGTTTACTCTGTCTTAAAATCCTTTTTATGGATTATGAAGTAAGCTTCAAGTTTTTATCCCTAAATTCAAGAAAAAGAAAACAACATAACCCTGAGACTACAGCCATGAGAGATGCTTTCTAAAAGATGTGCCCTAAAACTCTCTCATCTAAGGTGCACACTGTGACTGCACAGCCACCTCCTGACTCTGACAGGCTCCGTTATTGCCTAAGTACCAGTCACCTCTCTTCTCAATACTGTTCTGCGTTTCCTCTCCCCCAAATTCTTCTGCCTCCTGCACACTGCGTTAGCATCAGTGGTGAGAAGGCAGATTTTGAATAATGGTCCCCTTCCTTTGTATTCACTGAGTTTCCCAGAATTCTAAAGATCCCCCTGCTTCCTCCCTTGTCAACTACCCTGGGATCCAATGTGTTACTCATGTCAAGCAGCTGGTGGGGGGACAGTGGATGCCCTTTTTTACATCCTCCCATCTTCCCTCTCATCTTCCTGCTATATCTGGGTTTGGAGAATTGAATTTCAACTTGTTGATTTCTAGGCCAGAACTGAGGGAAGTTTTACCCTCTGAGGGTATTTGGCAATGTCTGGGTATGTTTTTAGTTGTGCAAAGTTGTAAAGGAGGCTTCAACTAACACTTACAACACTAACAACACTCACTTGGTGAGCGGACACCAGGGTGGCGCTATACATTCTGTAGTGTATGGGACAAAAGCTTACGCAGCTCTGAATAGTAATAGTGCCAAGGAGAAACC